CACTGTTGTCCTTACTATTGCCCACCCTTGTATAATAAGCCATGTAAACATCTACTGTAGTAGATATTGCAAGTTATTTAAGGAAAGTAGAGAGATGGACAAATTATTTCATCCTGGCTTTTTTTGTTCAGATAATTAATTAATTAAATTGAAGGTTCGTTAAAGCATGTTGTTAGTGTGACTGACTTTGCTAAAATATTATTATATAAAAGTTCTTTGAGACTCATGCTTAAATGTATGCATGATTAAACTAAGGTAGTACACTATATGTTGATCACTCTGAATGTTTGCAATGTGTCCAATGTGTATGGTGAAAAGAAACAAGAGTATGATTTTCAGCTTGCCAGAGAAGGCACTAAGACAGCTAAGCAAAAAAAACCAAACAAACAAACAAAAAAAGGATCAATTACATTATCTGTTCTTGAAAGAGCATTGCCCAGAACAAAATTAAGGATAATCAGACCATGCATATAAACTTGATTCTCTAAGACAATAAACTCAGACCATTTATCAGTAGATAAGTGAGAGGCAAACACATTTACCTGCTTAATTTTAAATATGGTTCTCAGTAAGTACATCAAAATATATTTGGTTTTAAAGTATAGATGTATTTCTCTGAACTCAATCAAAGCATTTATTCGACGTTTGATTATATTCATTTTCAAGAATATAGAACTTTTATACCAGAAGGGCTCTTAAAAATTAAGTCAAATTTGTTTATATCATGAATATGCTGTTTTATAAAATAAAAGGATATAATTAAAATTAGAGGACTCCAAAACATTGACGGCAGAAATAGCTGAGTGCCAGTGACTTGAAAATGAATGAGCCTGGGTTCCACTGGTCATCTGCCTGTAAATTAGGAAATTTAAGCCAATTAAAACTAGAATACCCATTTCACACAATGTGATCCTGACAAGAAAATAGAATTCCTAAAATTCAGCTATTAAAGCCTTGTTTTCATTTTCTGTTTGTTTTTACAGTTTTACTGATATGTATTGATAACTGACTTATAATATATGTAAGGTATACAACATGGTTGATATATATATATATTGTGACATTATTTCCACAATAAGTTTAGTTAAGGTCCATCACCTCACATAGTAAAAAAAAAAAGTTTTTTCTTGAGGCGAGAAATTTTAAGAGATATTCTCTTAATAACTTTTAAATATACAATAAAATATTATTAACTATAGTCACTATGCTGTTCATTGTATCTCTACGACTTATTTATCTTACCTTCTGGCCATCTTCATCCATTTTGCACCCCCCCATGTCTCACCTCTGGCAACCACCAAGCCCTTCTTGGTTTCTTCATATTCCACAGATAAGTGTCTGTGTTTCTCTGTGTAACTTATTTTACTTATTATAATTCTTCCAATGTGCATCCTTGTTGTCAGCAGTGGCAGGATTTTCTTCTTTAAGGCTGAGTAATTAATACTATACAGGGTTTGGCAAAAGTAATTTTATAGTTGTGAGTATGCGAAACAGAGTTTATTCTTGTATTATTATTTATTAATCATTGTATAATTTTTCATATGGTACAAGCTAAAACCTACTTTTCCCGCCCCTGTATATATGCACACAAATACTAAATTGCCTTTATCCAATCATCAGTCCATGGACACTTAGGTTGTTTTCATTTCTTTCTTTCTTTTTTTTTTTTTTAAAATATATTTTATTGATTTTTCACAGAGAGGAAGAGAGAGGGATAGAGAGTTAGAAACATCGATGAGAGAAAACCATTGATCAGCTGCCTCTTGCACATCCCCTACTGGGGATCTTCCCACAACCAATGTACATACCCTTGCCCGGAATCGGGCCCGGGATCTTTCAGTCCGCAGGCCGACGCTCTATCCACTAAGCCAAACCAGTCTCAGCTTTTTCATTTCTTTAAAGCTTTAAGTTTTCTATTAGTAGTTTCTATTATATCTAGTAAACTTTTTTATTTCAAAATAATTGGTTTTTATATATCTAGACCACTAACACACAAATGACCTATAATGCCTTTTGTGTTATTTGTGTTAGATATTAAAATTGGAGGTAGTGTGAAAGAGGATCTTATTTTTTTTATATTGAGTTAAATATGGGCTATCTTCTCTTTTTTAAAATATATTTTATTGATTTTTTTACAGAGAAGAAGGGTGAGGGGGAGAGAGCTAGAAACATAGATGAGAGAGAAACATCAATCAGCTGCCTACTGCACGCCCCCCACTGGGGATATGCCTGAAACCAAGGTACATGCCCCTGAACGGAATCAGACCTGGGACCTTTCAGTCTGCAGGCCAACACTCTATTCACTGAGCCAGGGCAGGGCTATCTTCTCTTGAAAAGAAATTAGCAGCTATAAGAAAACCTCAAATATTAATTTCAAATAATGAGAGAAATTTTATGCAATCTGGGTTATTTATGTATAATCAACATAGAAATTACCCAAAGAATTAAATCATAGAAAGTATTACTTCCCTTTCTTGGTTGCTCAAAGTGAAAATTTTCACCAAATGTTTTACCAGTTACTTTTTAATTTTTTTTTTTTTACTCAAAAAGTTAACACTTTTGAGAAATCTAATTTTTTTAAATAAATGCATTAATTGACTGTGGCACTTTACATCTCTGATCTAGAGGTTCCATGCATCCTTTTTTTAGATGATGTTTGAGGTCAGAATAAAATAGGAAAGGATTCTCAATGTCTAGTCTTTCCACAAAATCCATGATCCAAAATTCAGGATGGTGTCCTCAAAGAGGAGGATAAAGTCTTAACTTTGAGGTATAAACTTAATTATTTCAATGTAATAGACAATGTATGTGGCTTTGGTAGATATGACCTGTAATATTATTTGGCTGCTAGTTGTCATAGATTACTATGAACCATATGGGGGTGCAGAGCACATTTAAAAAACAAAACAAAACAAAACAAAACAAAAAACTAATGCTACTAAGACAAGCCATAATGGCATAACATTAACAAATTATCTTGTTTCCACTACTTGTTTGACCATGTATTGTTAGTCACAATATTCAGAACTCTAAAATTTTAGCCACTGATGGAATATTCAGAATCTTATGGAACCTTATATCTGTACCCTTTTACACATACAGTTAAACAGGAAGGTGCCTTACTCATACTATATACCAGGAAAGGAATTTAGAATTAGTTCTATATACCACTGGTTTTGGGACATGGTGTTAAGTTCCTAGCTGTTATATGTAACAATAACCATGACTACTACCAAAAACTCACATAAAATTATTTACTCATTGTTCATATAAAAAGGGCATATTCAGTTATTGCTATAACACTACCATTTTTTTCTCAGTTGAATTCCTTGTGATTTCTTGAATGAAAGATAAAGAGTTATCCAATTTCTTGTAATTCTGAGGTAATTTCTGAGAGTGAACTTCACATATGAGTAATTTTTAATTCTCACCTGAGGATATATATATATATTTAATATATTTTATTGATTTTTTATGGAGAGGAAGGGAGAGGGATAGAGACTTAGAAACATCGATGAGAGAAAGACATTGATCAGCTGACTCTTGCACACCTCCTACTGGGGATGTGCCTGCAACCAAGGTATATGCCCTTGACAGGAATCGAACTTGGGACCTTTCAGTCCCCAGGCCTACGCTCTATCCACTGGGCCAAACCGGTTAGGGCAAGAATATCCTTTTAAAATTGATTTGAAAGAGAGAGAAATAGAGACAGAAATATTGATGTGAGAAAGAAACATCAATCATTTGCCTCTAATATGCACCCCACCTAAGGATCGAACAAGGAATTTGGGTATGTGCCCTTTGGTGTCTGTGATAACACTCCAACCAACTGAGCAACCTGGCCAGGCTGAATATCTTTAGCATACATGTAACTGTGAGGAAAGAATGACAGGTGGCTGCTGTTGCGTGTAGACTTCTGCATGTGCACAGGCAAGAGAAGAAATAGTTCATGGAGCAGAGTGTCCAAGGACACTGAAGTTTGGACCTTAGCAAATGTAGTTTATTTGTTTCAGTGGAGCCAATTATATATTCACAGACTTTTCTACCTCTCTTAGCCAAGGAGAATGTTTATTTTTTATTTATTTCTTGTAGAATATAAATTCTACATAAGTTTTTCTGGTATATAAAATGCTGTGTGAGTATCTACCAGTAATTAATTGCCTTTCATAGAGGTAGGTAATATATGGGAGCAAATTTATTGTTTATGAGTATATCAATGGTGTTTAAAAACTATATTCTGAGATATAAATTCAACGCTGAAGTGTAAAATTGCTCCTGCAGGCTCATAGCCTGGAAAATGATTTCTTTTAATAGTTCTCTTCATTTAGCAGTTCTTCATTTGAAAATGTTTCCTTTCAGCTGCAGATTTTGTGGTTTGGTGTGTTGAAGGGGAAATTTATCCCTTTCACACATTTATTCTTCTAATAGTTATTTGAAAAAAGTTTCACCGGATGCTTATATATTTTGCAGTTTGCAGAGAGATTTATTTTCAGTTTTATTTCTTTTTAATGTTTATTCGTTTAAATACGTTTTCAATGCATGGAAGTGTCACTAAGATTTCTTTAGCGCTCTTTGGGGGCTTCTCATAAAGCACTAACGCTAATGTCAACCTGTGGGTTTTCCAGGGAGTCTGCAAGCCCTAAAACCACAGAAAAGAGTCACATCCCTGGAAAGAAGGAGACAGTGTGCAGGACAAAAACTAAGTAACCACTAGAAGATGTCCTTATCTATAAAGTTAATTATAATTTAGACCTTACTCTCTCATCGCATGAACAAGAAGACTGACTAGTTTGGGGATGCAGGGTGTGACCAAGAAAAATACATTTCACTTGCAGATTTGAAAGTAGGGTATCTGTCACAAACATCTTGTCTTAATACTGAATATTACCAGTAACTTATATCAGGATTCCACCCACCCTGAGTAATGATGTGTTCTTATTATAAAGACCCTTAAATGACACGTGTATTTCTCACTTGCTCTCTGCCCATTTTATCCACAGTTCCAAAGACAGCACCCACCAACGTGAGTGGAAGAAGTGGAAGAAGGCACGAGTTAGTCATTGCCTGGGAGGTAAGAGAGCCTGTACTCAGATGTCAGAACTGGTTGAGTCCTTAGGAAATACTGCTACATATCTAGGATCTGTACTTGGTGCAGAGACACTGGGTAATTTCTGTTTAAATTAGGTGAAGGGACACTTTGAGCATGCATTGCTCAGATAGATATTGTTAACATCATCCTTCCTCATTTTCATACCAGCCTCCAGTTAACTTTTCCCCAAGTCTGTGGAACGACTTCCTGTGAACAAGCTATCTCATGATAAAGTTTGATTAAAACACATATTCTCATATATTACTTCAGATGTCTGCTTAACTTAGTTCAATATTTAATTATTTCAAGATTAAGTGGCACCCTTGACTTATTTGGAGTCTAAAACTATTGAGGAGGAAGGAACTGACCTCCACTGACTTTGTGGCATCATGCCTTGCTTATTTCATTTATCCCATACAACAATCCTATTAGTGGGGCTCATTTTCCTTGTGTTAAATTTCGTGATACCGAGGCAGAGTTTAGCTACTTTCTCTGAGAAGAGTAGGATTGGGGACTTGTATAACAAAACTTATGTTCTTTTGTCTCTTTCACCATATGATCTCAGTTTCTTATCGAAGAAAAGAAGTGTGAGAGGTGCATTTATTTTTTATAAAGCCACTTTCCTTTTTTTGATGATAAATTACCTTATTCAATATAGCTGTGTAGCTCACAAAACTATGCTTTAGAATATGAAAATAGAATTTAAATGAAAATGTCTACTGGAGAAAACTAAACAAATACCTAATACTCTAGGAACAATGATCAAATATACAGAAAAACATCTTTTCCCAATAAGAAATTTTCCTTGAGCACGCTCTCTGTCCTGCTCTTATGTCCATTCACCTGGACATAAAACGTTTTGTGCCGAAACCGGTTTGGCTTAGTGGTAGAGTGTCGGTCTGCAGACTGAAAGGTCCCGGGTTCGATTCTGGTCAAGGGCATGTCGTTGGCTGCGGGCACATCCCCAGTAGGGGATGTGCAGGAGGCGGCTGGTCGAAGTTTCTCTCTCATCGACATTTCCGGCTCTCTATCTCTTTCCCTTCCTCTCTGTAAAAAATCAATAAAATATATTTTAAAAATAAATAAATAAATAAAAATAAAACGTTTTGTCTTGTTTTGATTTCTGCAGAGGGATTAATTTCCCAATACCTGAATTTCAGCGAGATCAAATATCTCTACATGGATTTGCCTTGCCTATACCCATTTTGTGTCAAAGTCAGCTCAGGCTGCTAAAACAAATGTTGTATAGAACAGGTGGCTTATAAATGACAGGAATTTATTTCTCACAGTTTGGAACCTGGAAGTCTACAGTCAAGGCACCAGCAGGTTGAGGCCTGGTGAGGCCTGATTCCTGGTTGGTAGACAGTCATTTTCTCACTGTCCTCAATGGCAGAGAGGCAAGAGAGCTCTCCAGTCTCTTTTGTAAGAGCACTAATCCCATTCATGCAGGCTCTTCCCTTATAATCAAATCACCCACCAAAGGCCCTTCTTCTTATAGCATCCCATTGGGGAATATCATCTCATAAATTTGGGAGGGATATAAAGTTTAATCTGTAGTTCTTTAATTTAATAATCTTTGTCTCTTTTATTTGACTCAATACACTTTTTTTTCTGAAATCAAAATTCAAAAGAAAAACAATTTAGCAATTATTTCTTGAGTATCTACGATGTGTTGAATATTGTGCACTAGGCAGTGGCTGGTAACTATTCCATTTACTAACTAGCCAATCACAAGTACTCATTTTTTGATGCAAAACTAATGTCCATTTAACAAATTTAAATATAAGCCGTTTAGTACAAGAAGTTTCTTGTACAAATACTATATTCCAGTTTTTTTCATATGTCAGTAATGCACAAAAGCAATTAAAAAAAAACAGTAGAAGAAAGGTTTTACATTAATGTCTCCTAGGTTTTCTGAACTAGCAGCTTGACAAAGTGTCGCCAGTACAAGATTTCCCGACCTTTAGGTTATATGATACTTTTTCCAACTTGTTATGTTCTAGTGTGCAATCCAAAGGCCTCCATTTCATATTCAGGACTAACTGGAGCAAATTTGTTTCACTTCAGCAGTTTTCGGTACTTTTAGTACTTTCCTTAAATACCAAGTAATATTATTATTATTTTTTCATCCTCTACCCTTAAAAGCCTTTTAAATTTTCAGCAACTGCCAAGTGATTATGCTAGGTTGGCTTTTAATCCTATATAATAAAAGGTTAAATGCAAATTGTCCCCTGGACTGGGATTTTGGGAGTTCAACCTCCAGTTGGACCACGGGGCAGGGACAGCCAACCACCTGAGGCCCCTCCCCCTGCCAGCCCCACCTCTCTGATAGACCCCTTCCCTCCAATAGGGGTGGTCTAGCTGGACCACCCTCTACACAAACTTGTGCACTGGGCCTCTAGTGTACTGTAAAGATTTGAGTCTTCTTTTCTTTAGTTATCCATAATTTTTTTAAAAATTTAAACTTTTGAAAGAAGAGAATTTTTTTAATTCATTATTTAGCTTATAATTAATTGCTTTTTTTTTTTTCTTTTCTTTAGCCAGTATCTGAAGAGTTTCAGAATGGGGAAGGCTTTGGCTATATTGTGGCTTTCAGGCCCAATGGAACACGTGGGTGGAAGGAGAAAATGGTGACATCCTCTGACGCTTCCAAGTTCATTTATCGAGATGAAAGTGTCCCTCCTCTTACTCCCTTTGAAGTGAAAGTTGGCGTTTATAACAACAAAGGGGATGGACCTTTCAGTCAAATTGTGGTCATCTGTTCCGCTGAAGGAGGTCAGTTTCTTTATCCGTATTTTTATTCAATATATTTTAACATTTTATTTTGCTATACAGGTGAGATATTGTTGTACAAATGTTATAAAATACAAATACATCAAAATGAAAACAAAACTCACCTATAGTCTCACTATACTTTTTAGATATATTTTTCCACGTAACTTTTATTTAAGAAAATTGACCATTCCATATCTGTTGCTTCATGTTCTTCATTTTCTAATGAAATATAACAAATATCTTTCTATGATAATAACAATATTAGAAATAGCTAATTAGTGTATCCTATTCTCTCTGTGGACATTTAACGAACAGTCTATGGTTTAAAATGTAGATAATTTTTTATTTTAACCCATTAAATTTATATAAGATAAATTTAAATGAAGAAACCATTTGTATGAACAATAAATAAGTATATTTATGACTAACATCATACACCCTACATTGCACTGACTAAGAAGTTTCAGACAGGGTTTCTTGTTGGAAGGTGTGCACACGTGACATCTTTCAATCCCCTTGACAATGTTGCCTAATAGGCATTATTATCCCCTTTGTAGATAAAAGAAAATTCAAGTTCAGAAAAGTTAAAGGTCACACAGCTTGTAATTGAGAATAAGCTCAGGTCTGTGTAATCATTAAATCCTTGATTTTTCTGTAGCTCACTGTCTTCATATGCTTAATCTCATGTAATTCTTAATATAAAATAATGAGGTATGCAGGATTTAGCAGGCAGTAAACCCATTACTCAGCTTTCTTTATCAAAATCCTGGGCTTTGTTAAGTTTTAAAAAAAATATTCAATTTTCTGAGTGAGAGAAAGCATGATAGATCTTACCTAAAATTAGCTTTTCTTCTTAGTCCTTCTATTAAGGTGCAAATTTTCCATTGGCCCTGAGAATAAAAATGATGCCTTCCATTCCCTAAGTGTGACAAATGACTGCGAAAATGTTCCACCAAAGGCAACACTGACTTGACCTTCCAAATAATGATTGTCTTTATAAACTGACCTTTCTACTTCCTTTGTGCCCACATTTGTGACTTAAAAAGCTGAAGAGAATTATTCATCTTTTCGTTCTGGAGTTCATAGGAGGATATAAATAAGGCCCTTTAAATATTGAAGCACAAAAGTAGGTTCTGATTTATGTAAGATGTAGTTTTTCAAAACAAGCTGCCTTATATTTGTCTAACATAGAGCCAGATTTTGAAGCAGAAGCAGAAAGCTTATCCTAGCATAAGAATGTATCCCAAGAAACTAGAATCACCAGTCAGAAAGGACATATGCACCCCTATGTTCATAGCAGCACAATTTATCATAACTAAGATTTGGAAACAGGCTAAGTGCCTATCAGCAGATGAATGAATTTAAAAATTGCGGTACATCTACACAATGGAATACTACACTGCTGTAGAAAGGAAGGAACTCCTACCATTTGCAACAGCATGGATGGACCTGGAAAGCATTATGCTAAGCAAAATAAATCAGTTAGAGAAAGATGAATCGCATAATCTCACTCATTTGTGGAATATGATGAACAACACAAACTGATGGACAACAACAGATCCAGGACAGAGAAGCATTGATCAGACTGTCAAACCTCAGAGGGAAGGTAGGGGAGGGTGGGGGTAAGGGAGAGAGATAGACCTAAGGACTTGTATGCATGCATATAAGCCTAACCAAAGGACACAGATACCAGGTGGATGAGGGCATGAGCAGGGTGTGGTGAGTAATAGGGGGATAAGAACACATATGTAATACCTTAATCAATAATGAAAATTTTAAATATATTAAAAAAAAAAGAATGACCAGGAAAGTGAAGAATCAAGTAATAACAAGGAATTATAGATGTTCCAATGACATACCCATGCACTTAACATCTCAAATGTCTGAGCTGGTGGACTATATTAGTTATACTAACTCTTACAACCAAATATGAGGTAGAAATCTCAAGCCTCAATCTACTGTTCAGGAAACTGAGTCTCAGAGAGGTTAAGTAACATGCTCAAATTGACACCAGGAAGTGACAGAGTTGTAAATGACTGTAGTTCAGTGGCAGACCCGGGATATGAACCTAAGAATTTACAGCTACAAAGCTCATACTTTTAACCACGATCCTATACTATATCATCAGGAATGTATATAATAATATTTTATTAATGGATTATGTAATTACATAAAATAACATTTTGTATTATGTTACACCAAAAATCTATTTTGAACTACGTGTTTTATTCAGGAAGTGCTTACTCTTGTTGCCTTAAAATTTCTTCAACCTAATCATCGAGCACATAGCTCCAAAGGTTACATGAGATGAATGTGAGGCATTAGTGCACATGTTTTGTATGTTAACACCAGGGCTGGCTTTACAAAACCCAGATTTGTACATTCCTTGTCAACTTTCGCTTTGAAATGAAATTATAGCAGCTACCAGGGGTTGTTAATACTGTGTTTCCTTACACTTGGAATGGTTTGCCTTTGGGGATTTCTCTTTCAAGCTGGATGGGAAATATGCATAATTTTCTTTCAAAGACACTGAGGTTGTTACTGTAACATTTCATAGTAACACCTCATTTATTTTGGTAGACTGGAGTATGAAAAATATCAGCAAATTAAATCTGGATAGAGTCTGCCTTTGTTCTGACAACAAAATTCAAACATATATTTGGCACTTGTTCACTAATTAAATTTACTAATTTGGAACTTCGTGTGTAAACAGGAGTAAAGTTTTTAGCATCACGAATTCATGTCAACTAAGAAAGGCAGTACAATGGAAAGGAAGAGCTGGAGCCTAGAGTCAGCAAAGCCTGGGTTCAGTCTGCTCACAATAACTGTGCATCCCGAGCAGTTTACCCATCTCTCTGACCCTTACCTTCCTCCATGTAAAAAATCAAAGTTTTGCCCTAACCTGTTTAGTTCAGTGGATAGAGCATCAGCCTGCTGAATGAAGGGTCCCAGGTTCGATTCTGGCCAAGGGTACATACCTTGGTTGTGGGCACAACCCCAGTAAGAGGTGTGCAGGAGGCAGCTGATCGATGTTTCTCTCTCATCAATGTTTCTAACTCTCTATCCCTCTCCCTTCTTCTCTGTAAAAAATCAATCAAGTACATTTTTTAAAAATCAAAGTTATGAGCTGGAACATCTCTGCAAGTCATTACAAATCTAAGACTGAAATTTTGTCAACTTACTCTACATCCTAAAATACTCATTTCGGTTTTCATTTTCCCCAGGTAATAATAGGCCCACTTTTGTGATATATTAAAAAGAAGGAAACCAATACCCTTTTTTAAACACTTAAATAAGTGTTTCTTGAACTTGAAGTGCTTTACTTGAAGAGTAAGGGTTTTCCTGATTGAGCCGTTTTTAAAGCGTCAAGGCCTATAATAAACGTATAAAATAATATTGGGCTCTTGCCAGTGCAGGTGCCTCCCTCTACCTGTGGATGTTCATAAGATTCACAGCGTTCCTCATCAGTCTTGCCAAAAACCCAACTGATCTGATGGAGACTGTATTTCCCCATAAGACAAGTTCTGCATGTTTGTTCTTTCAGTAACCTATTTCACCTGTTTTTCACCCTAAAACCCCTCTGTATTTATATACAGAATAAGAGGGGTGAGACGGCTCTCCAGTTCTGTTTATGGGCATAGTTCTCCCTATTCATATTAGATATACCCAATACCTGCCTAGAGCTGACAGCAAATCAAGAGGAAAACATGTTCTAGATGCTGAATCAGATGCAGCTCACAGAATTAATGTTGATGGGAGGGAACCACAGAACACAAGGCCTACAAGACAGCTCTAGTCACCTACCCATTTCCCACTGGCACATGGATGCCAGCTCACATGCAGAACACACTGCCACAGGTGCCGATATGCACCTTTCCCTTTCCTCTCAAGAAAGCCTATTGAAATGCAAGTAAGAATTAATTATTACAGTGAAAACCTTGAATGTGATCTGTTATTAAAAGAACTAGTCATTTATGTATATTGATATTTGGTAAATCCCTTGGGAAATGCCTTGACTCATGACATGGAGGTTGGTTGTTGCCCCAGAGTTGTCAGAAAGCTCCTTGGTTTCCGCAGTAGAAGTAACCCTGAATTGCTCCATCAGTGCCAAGCAGCATCTGACATCACTTCCATGGTCTCTGCACATCTATCGATTACCTATACTCTTTAAATCAGGCAAGTCTTACATGCATGCCAACCCTGACTTGACTTCCGATACACGGGTATGGCATAATCCTATACAATACTTTCATTTTGGAAACAATTCTAATGTGTTTTTTTAAAGATGAGCAAAGTTTCAACAGAAGTGATATTAAAAAAGTATGGTGGAAGTGATAGAAATGATTTTTTTCCTAGATGAAAAATCAGATTGACTTTTATTTCTATATTTCTAGACGTACTTATTTGTTAAAATTATATCTCTAGCTTTATTTAGTTCTTATTACCATAGCTTTGGAAATTGGAGATAACCTGAACATTCAATTACATCTAACAGAAAAATATGGGGAAAAACCAATATAGATCGATTAACTATAGATTGTTTATTTGTGATGAGCTGTAGCCTTTTCTAGTGTTGTGTTGTATTGTGTATGTGGGTTTTTTTGTGACGTATTTTTGTTTTTCGCTTTTTGTCTTATATGTAAAATATGTGCTGCTTTTATTTTTATTAAAACCAAAAAACCTCTCCTCATCATCATAAAATCATATGCAATTATCTCCTTGCACATGGAGCTACCAAACAGCTTAAATTAAAACCCAACATTCATGAGGTGTTATTCCCCCCAATCAGTTTTTAGCTGAAACTGAGCTCAGTGGGATTTATGTGAACTTGAAAATTAATAAATTGGCACATTCATTGTAAAATACAAGAAATAATTTCCTGTCTTTGCCAGATGATCTACTTGGATTAGTGCCTGTAAAAGTTCAACTGCAGCTGTCTTCACTGAATTTTTAAATAATGAAACCATAACCCTTCTCCCAAGGAGTTTATTAAACCCTCCTTTGATTAATGCTGTTACCCACTGCTTCTGGGAAGTCAGATGTATAATCAATATTACAAGCACAGCCCCTCATATTACTTGGAGAAGTCCTGCTGCTAGGTCACTTAGTACAAATGTATCATCTAAATTCATGAACATGGTAATGCTGTTGCAAATTTTCAATCTAACAGAAACTGAAATCTATCAATCAGTCTGTCCATTTCCTATGCCAAGATTGGAGTGAAGTTAACCATGTCCTCATTATAATATCAGAGAGAGGATAGAGAGGGAGATTTTCAAGTCTTTGAGTCTATTAAATATAACACAAGAAAGATCTCAGAAATAGATTCTTGAATTTTCATCAAATTACCTAAGTATAATAGAAGTGAGAGTGGCAGGAATCATCCTGTGGTTTACAGATCAGGAGAGTTTTTGGAGATGTGTGAATGTGACAGGATCAATGAGGAGCAGTGCAGCTATGATTCTGATTTATCAAAAATTCCATAAAAGATTTTAAAAATTTATAGTAAGCTCGTGGCTGGTTAAATAGGAAATGTGGGGGTCTAGGTAGTTTCTGGCAAGACTTATAGAGCCCAGGTGGGGATCCCAACATCCATAGTCCTGGGGGAAGTCAGCAGTGGAAGGGCAAGGAGAAGAGAGAGCGATAACAAAGGGTGTGTAGTACACAGACACATACACGGAAGCATAATAGCATAGTGATTAGCCCTAACTGCCTTGCTCAAAACCTCCCCCCCTCCCCCCGCAGCTGCGTGACCTTCGGCAAGTTGCTTATCCTCTCTGCCCCCAATATCCTCATCTGAAAAAGAGTGACTGTAGGGTTGTTAGAGGATCAGCTAATACATATGAGAAGTATGAATAGGGCTTGACACATGTCAAATGCTCAAAAATTGGCAATTATTACCTTTGTTTTTGCTCCTTATCTATTTTGTCTGTTCTTTTTTAAAAATATATTTTTATTGATTTCAGAGAGGAAGGGAGAGGGAGAGAAAGATAGAAAAATGAATGATGTGAGAAAATCACTGACCTGTTGCCTCCTGCATGCCCCACACTGGGGACCGAGCCCACAGCCTGGGCAGGTGCCCCAAATGGAAATCAAACCATTCAACCACTGAGCCAGGCTTTATTTTTACGGTAATTTTATTCGGTTCATTTCTCTGTCAGTTATTTGGAGGTAATTGGGCAGCAAGAGAGTGAACTATAATATATATGTTTCCTATACACTCTCTCTATGCCCCCAAACTGACTAGAAATGGAGAATGAGCCAGCCATTTCCTTGGTGCCTATTTTACAAGAGATGAAAGAACTCTTGAGACACGAGTTCCAGTTGGGACACAGAGTTTAGATATGTCACATTTTCCCTCTGCAAAATGAGGACTTGAGTTTAAAACATAGGTTTATATTCCCAAAGCCTATAGAGGCCAGGTAAGAAATAGAAATAAGTGAAGTATTCTTAGAGTGAAGCCAGAAGTTTTTATTTTTATATGAAATGTTAGAATAAATTAATTTAATACATTATTTAGGCAAACAAAAGATGACTGGAGACCAACTGCCCATTCATTATAAGCTTTGATCCAAGTGTATCTGGAAAATTCTTTCTAGCTGTACATTCCATCACTCAGACACAATGGGATACCCAAATAGTTAATTCCAATCCAACACAGATATGCTATGACCCAGTCATTTACTCCTGCCTCCAGACAAACATTATTGTTAGAGCTTGAAATAATTGGTTGATTGATTGATACTATCTTTATTGTTGAAGGTATGACAGATGTCACCTTTTTCTTCTCATTGACTCCCTCCATCCCACTCCACCCCCTCCCAGGTCTTGATTGCAGTATTACAGACCAACTTTTTGACTCACACAAGAATATTCACCTGGCTATAAATGACTCATACTGAAACTCTTGGAAGTAAACTGAAATTATGATTTCACTTGCTGAAATTTCAAGTGTAGAACTATTTTGGTGCAATATGTACATCTACTTCTGATGTTATTTACATCTAGAAGGTGAAACAAATAAAAAAAAATGACACTTCAGTTCTTGATTTATTTACCCTTATTTAATTAGATGCAACTATAATGTTTAGCCTGCAAGAATGCAAATGTGAAATGTCAGCTTGGGTTTGACCCTGATTTAATATCCTCAGAGCTTATAAATAGAAATCAGGATGCTTGTTTGAGAAGGAAGTTTCTGAATATTTATCTTCTTTAAACTTTTCTTATTTTTTACTCTTTTAAAACTTTCTTATGTCTGAGAAATACTTAAACCTGTGTAGTGCTACAGAAAGCTGATAGAGAAATACTTCCTTTTTCTAAACTTGGAAAGAGATATAAAAACTGCCACCTAACCACATATTTTGTGCTTCTGAAATTATTTATCCCCCTGCAATCTCCTTTGACAAAGATGTAATTGCTTCAATAATATAAAAGCTGAAATGAGGCATTTGGCATACAAATCTCTGCAATGCATTCATTTGAAAGATAAGCAAAACTGCTTCCAAATAGCCAATTTACCCTGAGTGGCTGTCTTTGAAATCCGTAGATCATATCCTAACTCCTGCAGATCAGGGTGTACATATCTTAAGAACATGAGCATTTCCTTTCCTTTCCTCGAAAAATCAAGAATCTTACTTCTGTTAAATAGCAATGAAAAAGATGTTTGCAAGCCTGCCTACCTGAATTTTAGAATAAAATAGTAGAACCTTTCCCCAGGATTTTTTAAAAATCGGGTGAATGCATTAATAACAGGCAGCTACAAAGTCAGATGAGGGAAACCACTAGCAAAAGTAAATAATAAAAGTAAATAATAAATTTACTTTTAAAAGTAAATAATAAAATATATTCAAAGAGGGACAGAATGCAAAATTAAAGTGTATACCATGACAGAAATTTATGTCAGCTTCCATGGAGAGATGAATGTGAATTCACCACAGCAGTTTGAATTAACGCAATCATTTGAATTAACGCAATCATGAGTGCCTTACCAAAAGGAAATCATTCTCTGTGTAAACATGTACCTTTGAAAATCTTCTGTGGAATCCTTTTACAATAACAAAGGCAGGTGTTTGATTGATATTTCTTAAAGAATACTACACATAGGCTCTCCAAATAGATGTGTGACCACCTTCCATTAGAAAAGGAAAAAATCTCAACAACAAAAAATGGTTGGAATCCTTTCTATATTTCTCATAATGACTTTTAATATTTTTATTTAGAATTCTGTCTTTGGCATATGGTTACCTAAATATAAAACAAACAAACAACAACAACAAAACAAACAACAACAACAACAAAACATTTCAACAAAGAGTAATCTGAGCTTTTACCAGTGATATGGAGTTAATATTAAAGTCTCGACAATTTTTAAGGGATAGTATTTTTAAAAAATCAGATTTGTATAAAACTGTTGGAACTAATGGATAGCCTTTGTTCTGTCATTTCGTTGAATATGTGTTTGTGACATAGTGTTTATGATTCTGCAGTGTCAAAGCTAAAAATATTTTTTTCCTCACATCAAGTGCAACCTCAAAGTGCTGCTCTTGATGGATGCCAATCAGACATGGTGCATTTGGAAAAAATAGTGAGAAAGGTCGCTGAGCATAGCAACAGCCTGGAGACCTTCAGGGACCTTTCCTTTTCATTCTATAGTTATCTTAAAAGTCAACGCATGCCTCTTAAATACCATGATTCATAACATATTCCTTATACAATCATAGAAATGTGGTTTTGTGGTTGGAACAACAAAAACAACTCATGTAATTTGGACTTTTTGTGCCTGCAGAGGCTAAAAAGCTAAAATAATAATAATAAGTAGTATTTTGTGAATGAATAGTTTAAGTATCAAGGACTGTGCTCAATATTTTGTATGTGTTATTCCAATTAAAACTAAACTAAAACATTTCTCAGCTAAATACTCTTATTATGTCCACATTCCCAGGGAACTGGGTTTAGGAAGAGGTGAAGCTACTTGCCTAAAGGGAAATAAATATATAATGCTTTTGAATGCAAACAGCACAGGGGGAAAAAAATAAAAAGCCAGTTGTGACTCCTACTTCTTTCTTTTGATCATTACGATAGATGGCAGGCAATTTAAGCCAAACAATTTAACTTCTCCAGAAATGTCCTAGTTAATCCAAGGATAAACATCATCTCTGCTCGTCTTCCTAGATTTGTCATTTCTTGTTGGTAAGACTTGATGAGAACTGACCATAGTATGGAAATCCAAAAAGATCGTCTTTTTACTTCATTACAAAAAGATGGGGAGAAAAGTAACACCTCTGATAGACATAACTCGCTACCATTGTGGTTTATTATTTCCACTTCCCTTCACACAGAACCCAGTGCCGCTCCCACAGATGTCAAGGCTACAAGTGTGTCCATGTCAGAGATTGTTATTGCATGGAAACATGTGAAAGAGAGCCTAGGAAGACCACAGGGATTTGAGGTATGAACAGAATTATTGAAAATAAGCCTTGTTATTTTTGCTGGCATTGTATTCTCCTAAAGAGCTGGTTTGGTGGCCTTTTAACAGAATCACATTCCTTTGAAATTTTTCTCTGTGGCTTATTTTTTAGTATCTTTCCATAGCACCATGCAAAGATTTTTTTTAAAAGACAGATGAAAATAGACCTATTTCAATAGCTACAGGTGGCTACTTACTGTTATCCAATTGATTGGTTGTTAAAATGTTTTGTGTATTTTCCTCTAATAATTAAATGTATTAAGCAAGTCTTTCTTCTCTATCGTCCTTGGCAAATCTTACCCCCTACTGCTAACTTCTCATATTTGCTTGGAGCTTTGTGATCTGTACTTTTTTATTGAAATGACTTTTCATTCCTTAAATTTTTCTATTTTTAAACACAGTTATGTCGGCCTTATAATGGTGAACATTTTATAACAATTCATCAACTTAATGAAATGTTAGCCTCCAGGAGTGTGGGCAGTCTGTGACCTTGAATATTACACAAAAACAAGATTCCTATTCCTCACATAGCTCTTGTTCTTGCCTTCACCAGTCACTGATAGGAAAAGACAAAAAAGAATTAGCATTCAACCCAAGACCTCAGTTGCCTAAATAAACTTTTTATTTTTTTTCTCTGTTTTAACTCCACTAAGAGAAAATCATCTTGATTTTTCAAAAATGATCAAATATAGAACTTGTACACCAACACAAGCTTTTCCTTACTCTATTTGAGTTTTTCAATAATGTCTGAGAGCTATTTGATTAATATATAGCTAGCATTAAAAAATGGTTATTGCGATAAAGAAGTTTTTTTTACAATATTACTAAGTTACAGCAAGGACCATATATAAGGACACATTACATATACAAAACTCATGGATTTTTCTCTTTGGTCTTGCTTCAATTCATTATTTGGTGATAGATAATTTAGCATTTCTCTTATAGTGATTGCACATTTATTTTATAAAAATCACTCTTTTTCCTATCCATGCTTCAGGGACTGTGTCTGATCATTAGGACTGCTAGTACTTGGTTCATGGCACCTACAATATATAATTGTTGAGCGAATGGATATTGCACTTCACAATCATCTTCTTTTAATACCAATATAGAAGATATTGGGGTGCTCTTCCCAGCTCCCCTTCACTGGGTCACTGCACCATCCCCCAGCTGCTGAATGCTGGCTAATGGTTCTCAGCTTCTCTCTGGAGAATTGCCCTCTACCGAGGGGCACTGTCTTACCTGGAAAGTCACCTTCCCTGCAAAAGGCAACCCAACCCCAGGCCAATGGCTGACTCTGACTGACGCTGGTTCCTTCCTCAAGGAGGAAACAAATTTATGATGCAATTTATCATTCAGAGTGTCCTACCAGGGCTTGGTTACCTGGGACCACACTCTTGCTCAGCTCCCTCTTCTTTCACATTCTCCTTTCCTCCTTCCCTTACAATCTACCTGTAGGCACTCTCACAATAAATCAAATGCATTCAAATCTCTGTCTCAAGCTCTGCTTCTAAGGAAACTAACCTAAAACAACTCTGTAAATGTAGATCCACCTAGGTCCCTCAATCGGAGCATCTGGTGTGCACGCTTTTAGGAAGCCACCGGATGTATTCTGCAGAAGAATGAGGATCCAGTCTCCTATACATGAAAGCAGTGTTCCCCTTCACAGCCAGTCCCCCTCAACCTTTTTGCTGCCTGCCCTCAGAGCATGACATTCACATTCCTATCATGATTTACCTGCACTAACAGCTCTAGGTGAGATCCTACAAAGATCACATATGATTTAGATTTGTGCACAATTCTTCTCTTCCTGAAACACAAGCCATTCATTTATTAATTCAACAAATATGTATGAAGGTGTACTAAGTACCAGACCTAAATGTTAGGAATAAAACAATGAACAAAAAAATAAAGTAGCTATTCTTGTGGAGCTTATATTATAGTAGGGAGGACAGACAATAAACAAGATAACAAATAAGTGTGTGACATAATATCAAGTGATGATAAATTCTGTATAGAAAATAAAACTGGACACGAAGGTAGAGAGTGGAAGAGTCAGTTATTTTTAGAGGTTTGAGAAGTCACCCTTTTTGAGGTTTTTGCCTTTGAGTAGAAACACGATCAAATGAGAGAGAGAAGCAGAGAGGGAAGCAAACTCAAAGGCTCTGAAGTCAGTGCATGCTGGCCTTGTTCAAAACACAGGAAGGAGGAGGTTCTGGTGAGATAGCAGTGAACAACAGGAAGGTTGGCAGCACAGTGATGGAGAAATTGCCAGGACAAAACCAGGTTATACGGAATCTTGTGAACTGCAAAAATAGGAGTTCAGATTATATCCTAATTATGAGGAGAGGTCATTTAAGGATGTTAAAGAGTCAAGTCAGGGTATGACATTTAAAAGCCTCTTTCAGTGTAGAGGATAGAGAATTAGACTTCAGAGAGAACCTCAGGGGGAACAGTGAAGACAGTTGGTATATCTTAGGTAACAATGAGGTTGCTTTTGACTAGAACTATAGCAGTGGAGTTAATGAGAAATGGACCTTCTAAGATGTATTCTGAATTGGTTGTATAACAAGATCTGATAATAAATTGGAGGTGGAGCATTACCAAAGATAATGCCAGAGATTTTTGACCCAAGAAAGTGAGTGAAGGACTTATCAATTACATATAGGAGAAACAGAGAAGAGCACATTTTTCAGAGGAAAAAAAAAATCAAGGATTCTGTTTAGATGTGTTAAACTTTATAAGCCTTTTTATTTCCAAAAATAGTTGCCAAGTGAGTTTTGTGTTAAGAAAAAGGTTAGAGTTAGAGCTGTAGCTCTGAGGAACTATCAGTGCACAGATGGCTTTTATGCGTGTGCTGGCTGAAAGTGCAGGGTGCTGATAGGGATGTCTCAGAATTGACCCTCTGGTGCCTCACCATTTGGAACTCAGGAAAGAAAGAGGATCTGGCCAAAGAAACTAAGGGAGACACTGAAGAAATTCAGAAGCCAAAGAAGGAATTTTAAGATGGCATGATCTTCTGAGTCAAATGCTGCTGGGAAACTCAGAAAGATGAGGCCTAAGATTGCCCAATGGGTATGGCACGCTGAGACCCTGTTGACCTTGGTGGTCTCGCCATGATTTACCTGTAACAACAGCTTTCTATGAGGTTTCATGAAATGCTGATGATCAAAGCTTGACTGGAGATTAAGATCAAGATCATCCAACAATAGCATTCAGAAGTGTCAGAGCACATGTTTGTACTGAGCCTATTTCCTTCAGAAGGACATTTTATCACAAGCAAAAATGGATATTTCTAAGGATCAAACATTAATAGGAAATGAATCAAATTCTAGAACAATCATCACAAAGGCCACATTTTTTTAAGTTAAATCAACTCAAATTCTGACAACCATTTTTACATATGGAAGCAACATAAAATCCAAGGGCACAGGAACATTTATGCAATTTTATAGTGTGTTATAAATTAAAGTTTTAAAAATATGGCATCTTGTTAGCAAAGAAATCAATATCTTGTTAATGGGGAAATTAAATGTATACTTTTTATAATCAGAAAATTATTAAAACTTCATATACTTCAGTGGCCAACTATGACATTAACTATTATTTTAAGTAGAATATAACCAGCAGTGATGATTTTTTATTGAGACTATCTTGTAATTGTATAGTTGCATGTAGATTTAAAAATAAGTGTGAGGTAAGTAAGACTTATCAGCATCATCCCAATCCTCTATGTTCTGCATTCTTCATTTCATTAAGGAGAACTCTGCCTCTGCTCTTCACCTTATCTACCCTGGAACTTAGGGCTTTCATCATCTTATTATTTTTTTTCTTTTATCAGTTTTCTTTTCTCTAAGTAAATTATCTCCCCAACTATTATAAATATTACTAAAATATGGTAATGCCTTAAAGCTTAATATTTCATCTCATCACTATCTTCTCTATTCTATCCCAGATACAATCCTAGCTCCTAGCTGTATTTACTAATGGTAGAATTCTAAGCATGGTGACAAAAAAAGTATATATATATATATATATATATATATATATATATATATATATATATTTCTATGAGTCATTTGGTCATTTGTTTGGTTGTTATTGCAGATTTACCTATAATGTCTGAAAGAGCTAGTTACTATAAAGGTGCTGGGTGCCATTTTGAAAGGAGTGGAGGTGGTATTCAGTGCCACCTCTCTTTTATTTCCCTGAATTGAAATGCATGAATTAGTTAGAAAAGGTACTACTCTTATAAATATTGTATTCTAATGGGAAAGACAAATAAAATATAAATAAGCAAACAAGTGAGTAAAATAAACTTAGCTAAGAATACATATAGAAGTTCAAAGGTAGGACAAATCTGGTTCCTGTAAGGAACAGAAGGAAGTGGAGCTACTGCACCTTGGTGAGCAATGGTGTGAACGAAAGTAAAAAAAAGTAGGAGAGTTAAGTGAACAGAGACAAATTATGTAGTAATATACATGTTGTAGAAAGAATTTGTGTTTTATTGCAAATGCAATGGAAAGCTGTTGGAGCAAATGTGTCTGATTCATTTTTTTTTTTCAAAGCATCGCTCTGGTTGTTCTTAGTGAAGAATACAAGGAGGTAGGGGAAGCTCAGGAGTAGAAGTTAGGAGCTTATCACAATAACCCAATCAAGAAATGATGGTTACTTAGAATGGGTCCTAACAGTGAAGCAGGACAAAAATAGAGGCAGGTCAGCAGGATTTACTGACTGATTAAATGTGGACAGAAAGGAAATGATTCCTACTTTACTGGCTTGAACAGATTTCAAGGTAAAAAAAAAAAAATTCTATTTTGGCTAAATTCAATTTGAAATGCCTATTAGAAATATAAGAGAATATATCAGGTAAGCAATAAAATATATGAGTTTGGAGTCTAATAAGAGATCAGGCCTAAGTCATAAAGGTGACAGTCAAAGAAGTGTTATGTAAGGCCATTGTATAGATGTCCTAAGAACAA